CCCATGCTTGATCTTTCCTTTCAATGGAGTATTGACGATAAAGGCACTCAGTTATAGTAAATCAGTGGGAAATAAAATAGAAACTAATTCATTAAGTATGGCACAAAAATACCCATAATTTACCCATTATCAATTTACCCGGAAAAAAATAAAATGCTATCATGGAATTTGCTTTCGTTTGGAAGTGTCATGAGTGAGACACAGATGAATGAACTAACAACTGCACCAATGGGGCAATCAGGAAAACAATCGATAAATAAAGAAATGAATAAATGATGGGAATTGTGGGAATTCCCGGGTAGCGGGGGAAGGGGAGGGGAGGAGGGGAGGGGTATGATAGTGAATGAAGAGAGCTGCAAGATGTGATTTCTGCAAAGTTTGACTTGCCACCAAGTTTGTGCTCCTTTGATTTTCAAGTGTTTGTTTGAAAATGTGTCATACGGTAGTGTATACGGTGCTAAATAGAACATTCGAGAACATTCGGGAACATTCGGAAAGTGCTGCAACGGGAAGGCTTGCGGTGATGTCACGCGACGACATATTCGCTAGGTGTTGGGTGGTTTAACTTGCATTGCTGTGTGTGCTTGTGGGTGACAGAAGGCTGGGAGGACAGTTGGGTTGGTGACACTGGTGTGTTGCTATTGAAGCAATTACATAAATTAGCCAGTTTTCTGTTTTTTGTATTTAACATTTTTTATATTAGTTTTCTAAATTTAATACGAATTTTTTTTCTTCTCTATATTTTATATTTTGTTAAATTCATATTCAATTTTATGAATATTTTACACTTTTTCTAATCATTACTATTAATATTGCTCTCAACTTTTTCCAGGTTTTTTTTTATGTTTTTTATTTTTATATGGTAATGGAACATTAGCAGCCGATGATCGTTTGATTTGGCTTATTTTATTCTTTTGAAAGAGATAAAAGCAAATTCTCGAGTTTGCTAAATTCTGATAATTTCTTCTCAATTCTATTGCTATTTTATCCGTACTTCATGTTCGGTTTTCGTTCAGATCCTGTTGATACTGAAATCGGATGAGTTTTGCTTATTGAATAATTAGTTTCTGGAAGAGATCTGATGAATAAATTCATTTCGTTAAATTTTTTTTTGTTCATTCGTTATTGTAAACTTCTTATTTCTATCATGTTCTCATCATTTGCTGGTTGTTATTTGTTCTCTGTCGCCGATTTCTTTCGTAGACTAAAAGATTATAAGTGGATCTTTTCCTTTTCGTCCCTCATCTCATTTATTAAGATTATAAGTGGATTTTTTTTGTAATGGCATATTTGGTAAATTATTTGGCAAAGAGATGTTCAAATTTCCGTTGATTCTTAAATAGCGTATTTGCTCTTATATGACTTTGGTTCAGTTCCATCCCTTTTCTTTTTTTTTCTTTCGTTTATTTCCTTTCAAAGTTTTATCCTGAAATTTAAGTCTATCTTTTTTTCTTCACGTTAGTCTTATGATTCTAAAAACTGCATAATCACAGCTGTTTCACATAACCACAAAATCCAATTTTTTTGTTTTTTTGCTCGATCTCGTTTGCATGATTTGGTTTTTATACCGCTTCTTTGTTCTGTTGCTCTCACTTATTACTAGAATGGTAACATATGACTAATTAATGGCTGTTATTGTTGATAGTGATAGCAACATAATGAACCATAATTCGTTTTGTTTACAAGGAATGAATGTGTTATATTTAAGTAAATTATAATGATCGTGTCAGCCATCATTATTGAATTCTATTGTGTATATCAAATTTGTAAATGTTATCTTTTTTTCAGATTTCTCCATTACGTAAGCAGTGATAAACTTTGTTACGCAGAACTCATTACTTTTTGATTTCATATTTTCTTTCTACTGAGAAAAATCAAATACATCATGGGCAAGGATTACTACAAAGTACTGGGAATTGCAAAGGGGGCCAGTGATGACGAGATTAAGAAGGCATACCGTAAAATGGCTTTGAAATATCATCCAGACAAAAACAAAGAACCTGGTGCAGAAGCAAAATTTAAGGTTTGTCCCTGCAATTTATTAGGCAATAATTCTGCATTACTTGGTATTATCTGGATTTCAACCCAGTTCTCATGATTTTTAATCTTAGGAAGTAGCAGAAGCATACGATGTATTGTCGGATCCAAAGAAGAAAGAGATATATGATAAATTTGGAGAAGATGGATTAAAAGGAGGAGAGGGAGGATTTGGATGTCCTGGTGGTGTGCATTACGAATTCCAGTAAGTTCTTATTGTCACTGGTTTTCAAAGTAATTCATTTAATACTGCTGATAATTGCCGTAAGTTGAGTGCAAATGGCTGTACATTTTCAGATGCCGTAAACTTAGTAAATAAGCTTAACTTTATTCCATTTCTGTTGCTGTTTTGTCCTAAAGTATAAGTTTCAGAGGAGACCCGATGCAAATGTTTGCACAGTTCTTTGGTGGTAGTGATCCATTTTCTACATTCTTTGCTAGTGGATCCACTACTGGTGGTAGTGGACCGCAACTTTTCTTCTCAACTGGTGGCGATGATATGCATTTCGGTAACTGCATTATTCCTTGCCTTAGATCTTTGTTAGTTATCATTAAAATGATATTTGGAGCGGAGAGTGATTTACTTCTGTTGACTTTGTATAAATGAAAAATTGCAAGTAAACGATGCTACAGATTTTCCAGGAATGCCTTTTGCTATGGGTGGTCATTCACGGCGCCAGCGTCAAGATCCTGTTGTGCAGCATGAACTGTTGGTCTCTCTAGAGGATATTTATAAGGGCTGTACCAAAAAAATGAAGATTACAAGGTAACTGTGATTTGATTTGTTTTTCAGTTTTTGTAATCTCAATTCTGCATAACTTGTATTTCATGAGGTGCTTTCTGGAAAATATTGTTCCTGCTTTTTAAAGGAAGGTGTTAGCTCCCGATGGGCAGTCAACAAGGATAGAAGATAAAGTACTGACGATCAATATTAAGCCTGGTTGGAAGAGTGGAACTAAGATCACGTTTCCCAAAGAAGGAGACCAACATCCAGGGCGTGTTCCTGCTGACATAGTGTTTGTTATCAAAGACAAGCATCATCCTAAATTCAAGGTAACTCTCTGTTTGGTTTTTCCAAAAGCTTTTGAAAAATAAAACTGTTTCGGTGTAAGATTAGAGACTATTGCTATTATTTGCTGATTACCATTTTTTCAGCGAGAAGGTGCGGATATCCGATATGTACACAAGCTGGCGCTACGCGACGCTCTATGTGGAACGGTTGTTCATGTACCAACTTTGGATGGTACGACATATCCGATGCGTATCAACGAAATCATTAGACCAAATACTTCCAGAAGGTTTGTTTTGTCTTTAAGGTAACATTTTAGTGATTAGGTTACTTCATGAACAGTACTTTTTGAGTTCTTGAGGTTTTCCTGCTGTGTTCAAGTGGTCAAATAATTCTATCTGTTCATGACCTTATTGGGCATCAGTTGGAGAAAATGCTCCTAGATTTTTTATTCTTGCGACAGCCAGCAAATCAAATTTTATAACTGCCCTTTTAAACGATAACGGATACTCCCATTAATTTATGTTAATGATTTAATCAGATTTTTCCTCTTTCTCAGCGTATTTATTTTAAGGTTGACAGGGCAAGGCTTACCGAATCCTAAAATGGCTGGACGACGAGGTGATTTAATTGTTGAGTTTGATGTGAAATTTCCAGATTCACTTCCATTAGCATCGAAAGAATTGATAATGAATGCATTGCCAGCGTGATCAAGTCACAGTGTTTGGCAGACTTTATTTTTATAAGCTAAAAGCGCTCCGTATTTTTTCTAATCTGTTTTTAATAGGTGTTCATGAATTTAGGTGATCTGCTTACATCTTGATTGTATAAAACTCACAGTATCTTTTTCTCATTATGTGAAATAAAAGTTTGGGATGCATACTTAGCTAAGATAGCACTTTGGTGTTTAAAACATATGGTCCCGAAGGATTGATTTTTACTTTTTGGTGAATCGTTTTTGTACTTTACTGTGCTCAAGTCATTAAATATGTCACTAGTCTTTGAGAAAATATAGCTATTATGAATTTAGAAGCTGTTTTTGCTTCTCCCTAATGGAAAGATAAAAGATGTGGTTCGTTAATATTTTCGCATTATATATATATATATGTTTCATCGAAGTTTGTCGGTTACTGGCTCTATATTTTCTGATCTGTTTGAAACAACCGTTTTTCGTTAAACCTATTTTGCTTCTAAAATTGTCCGTAATACAATTTGCCTTAATTTTATGCTTTTGAAACTTCTGGAACATTGTGGAGAGTTCTTTATGTTACACGATGATGAAAATTGTATATACTAATATTTTGTTTAAGCTTGTGGGCTTTTGATCCTTCATTTTTCTTTCTTTTTGTGTCTATTAGTTCTAGCTTTGTATTTGTTTTTCCTACAACAGTTCGGAATTTTCCAGTTTCAGTCTTACGGGTGTTGAATGTATTGAATAACATCCTTTTTTTTTTTTTTTTTTTTTTTGGTAGGAAAATTGTTTGAAATAATCTTGAAGGAATGGTTACAGGGATAGGGTCTGGATGAGAGATGTTTGAGAGTAATAAGCAACCCATAAGTTGTTTTGAGATAAAGTAGTCCGATTCCTCTTGTCTTTGTTTCTGCAATAAATAAGTGAATGGCTGAAGTAGTATTTTTCTGGATAGTGAATGCATAAATCCACTGAACTTTTAAGAAGTGTGTCAAATCATGAGAAGTAAAATAAGTGCTTAAAGTTATAAGGTTTTTGGTGACGAAAAAATGTGATGTTTGGGTCATTGTCATATGGGACAAAACCTCATCCAGACTTTAAATAGTTCTATCCTCAGTGTTGTACAGTGTTTTGTTTTTGAAGCAGGTAAACTAGCGTATAACCTACGATGTTTTGCAAAATTTGAAGCGACTAAGACATTCTCGGATTGGTATGTAAAGGGGTCAGTGATAAGTTTCGTCAGAATAGCAGTGAGGTGTTATTATGGTACCAACATTGAGGATGAACTGGTTGATGAACTATGATATCTCTGTGCGATGCTGGGGACTGTGTTACTTGGTTGCAAATGTCGCTCCTATAAATTATCTGAGAACAAATTTCCGTGTTATGATACTGCTGTTACAGAGTTGTCGGACATGTTCATTAGAGTTACATATAAGAGGAATAGTAATTGATAGGAACCCTGTTGGTGTCCGTTTTATTCTGATTTTCGGACCTCGCAATCTGGACCTATCAAGTCCCAGAAATTGAAATCCACTGCGAAATCATGGGAGGGTTAACCGAGATTATGCTGAATTCGTTGTGAAGTTAATCTTTATAAGCCAGCCGATGCTACGTAAGTTTCAACTTTGCAAGCATTGATACCTCGTTCCATTTTGAAGAACCCTTGGTCACCCCACCTGAAAATAGTTTTTATGAAGCTATTGTGTTTCACGAAAATAATATTTTATAAAGTGAATTCCAGAATTAAGGTTAGTTTCAAATACGTCGAGATTGAAAATGAGAAGAGTGTTCAAAGGAATTTTAATAGGTGATTTCTCACTGTACTCACCATTCACCCCAACTGTTTTTAAGTAACCAATATTTCTTGCCATTTTCGGTACCATAACCGATCACTTCAGCTGCATGGTTCGGCTCCATTGTCGAACATTCATCGGTGTCCGGTAGTACTCCAGATTTGTAAAATTTGTACCGTTTCGGAAATGCAAGATCTGTTAGGTAGAAAAAATTGGGAAAGTTGTGTTGAAGAAAGGAATTGAATGCAAATGTCAAAAGTTTACGGCTGCTACGCTAGAGCATGAGATATATTTGTTACGATGCTATTCAATTCTGAGGTAAAATGAAGTCCAATAACCACTGGAAATTTTTGTAAAAGAATTTCGTCCTATGACAAGAAAGGAAGGAAGTCGTTGTCAAACGTATTTATGTAGAAGAGAATTTTACATAGATACCGGAGAGACCACTTCTTACGTTTCTCTAATAATATATTTGGAATGTTTTCCGTAATTTGTTACATTCTAAATTCCAAAACATAATTAACTGAAAAAGATCAATGACAGGAGATACTTACTAGTTGTTGTGGTCAAGTATAGGTCAATGAAAGCAAAGGGAAATGTTACGTATCAATGAAAAATGATTCAGTTTCTCGTTTTTGTTATGCTTAAGAAATATTAGTTGTTGTGATAATATTTGAATTTGAAGAAGTATTATGTCACTATTAGTGATTATCATTTTATCTTCTAACTAATTTATCTTTCTTTTTATTTACACTGTTATTGTGTAACTATTCGAACTATCTTTTGTAAATAATGCGAGAAAATTTTTGATTTAGGAATTCCATCTTTCGCTTATTGATATGCGTTTGGGAAGATTTGATTGACATTTAAAAATATATGAATATGAAAAGAATCATAATTAAGATAGATTTACCATTCAAATCATTCCTCATACAAAAACTTTTAAAAAAAAACGAACTCAATGCAATCGGTGCTACATTTGCTACAAACCAAGCCATTGCATTTGGATCTGGATCGATCTGATATAATTTATTAATGAAAATTTCACCATATGCTGGGCAAAAATAATTGTTACCCAATAGTGTAGGATAATTCATCGTTTGGGTGAAGCCAATATATTTTCCACGTCTGTAGAATAACATTATTCATTGGAAGTCTTGATAATTTTATCAAAATTTTTAAGAGAAATTCAATTATTTCCCTATGAAGTAGTTAGTTTTTCATAATTTTAATATTAACAGTAATTGCATCACGGATAACTTTCATTTAATATATTAAAATTTCGCATTTTTTTTTTTAATTTTTGTCCAGTTGATTTATAATGATACAAAATTATGCTTTGCTAAATAACAATGAACAGAACAGAATGTTTTATTGATAGATTTGGAAGTTTTGGAAAGGACATTAAGACATATAAATGTGTAAAATACTTGTTGTATTTGAAATATTTATGATTGAATAAGAAAAGAAGTAATATAAAAAATGAATTTGTTTAGTTATTTTCGAGTTTAATTTTTCCAATACTAAAAGATAGTTTTAAAAAAAACAAAAAAAGTAACACTTAAATTAAAATAGGAATAGAATATCTGTTTTTTTTTTTTTCAAAAATGGCAACTAACGCCAGTGATTTCATGATACTACCACTCCTACAACCATTGTTGTTATAATCACAATCAAGCATTTCATATTCCGATATGGAAATATATTGCTGATATTTAATTGCATACAATGATTCTATCACTGCTGTTACTGCATATGCATAACATGAATTACATTTATATGCTAAAAGTATCAATTATTGCTATTTGTTTAAATTTAAACTAATATATAGAGAAATTATAGAAAAAAAACTAATCACATAGTTAAACTAGTTGAAATTTTCAACATTAGATTATTTCTTCTATTCATTTCTTTTCAAATTAAAAAAAAAAAGGTAATTGAAGATAATTAATTAATTAACTAACATTGTTTTTTAACGGCAGTTACACCACCTTTCTCCCTCCAATCCCAATGCGATGGATATGATGAACCATCTGAGACTATATGAATCCAACCAGCACCATGGTAGCGAAAAAGATGACGATCCGGTGGTTCACGAAGTGGTCCAGAGAACTACAAGTTAAACTTATTTTAAAATACTACAGTAATGATTTCTTTTTATTTTATTGTAACTAATGATGTCCCTGTGCAAGGTGGTGTATTATTGTTGAAAAGAACGGAACATTTTTGGAAATAAAATATAAAATAATTTTCCTTTTTTTTTTCCTTCAAATTAAACTAAATTCGACTTTTTCCTTAGAAATAAGTCAAATATATATTCGACACAACAATAGTTTTCAAAAATCAAACTTGAAGAAAATTATAAATTCTAAATTAAATTAAAATTTGAAAGAAACAAAAATTGCTTTATGCAAACCGCATCAAGTTCCTCATCAGCCCAATCAGCAAATTTGGTAATTTCATATTTTGCGCTACTATTTTCATAATTTGATTTCTCTATAAGATGCACATTTTCTTGGAAAATTTTCAAGCGTTCCCGATAGCTAATCGTATCATTATCAAAATCTCGAGGATATCTGGAAATTTACAAATTAGAAAAAAAGAAAAGAAAACAACCAAATGTTTGAATTTTTTTTTTTTTTTTTGATGATTAAAATTAAGACTATGTAAATTAGAGTAGGAAAATAATTAGATTCATAGAATCAAAGATGGTATATCTTATTCATACAAAACTATTACAAATGATCAATTTTCTTTTTTTTAAAAAAAAAATTCAATTACTTTTTTAAAATTATAAAAATAATAATAATATTACATACTTAATGAGAAATTTGTCGTAAATTTTCTTAATTTGTGAAGAACTATACATTGTCATATTGCAATAAATGAATTGTAATCGTGTAAGCATAGCTGTCAACAATAAAATAGATAGCATTCTGAAAATGAATGAGATTCTTTCAAATTATAAAATAATTTAAAAGTAAATAATATAATTTTAAAATTTATGTGAGATGTTGGAGAAAAAAAATTATCCAAATTCTGAAATATAAAAATATGAAACAGTATACGATAGTAATTTTGCTTTTTTTTTTTTTTTTTGATTTTAAAAATTAATTTAAGAAACATTGCAAAAATTGTTTGAGGAAGCGAAGAGCAAGAAATTGCTAATAAAAGACAAATGAATATTTGTCAAAATTTTAAAACAATCATTTAGGGAATAGTACATTTGTAATGTTTTATAAGAAACTAAGTGCTTAAAGATAGATAGAAAAAAAAAAGAGAGAGATGATTTCTTTGTTATGAAAGTTATTTGAATTTTATAAATTTTATTTTTCCATCAATTTCATCAAATAAGGATTTGAATGTCAACAATAAATCGATATTCGAAAGATCAAACAACAAGAATCTCTTTTTTTTTTTTTTTTGCTTATGTGACAAATGAAATTTTCTAAAACTTTAACCAATTGTTTTTGTAATTCTTTTTTAGGAAACAAAACAAACAAGACAAATAATTTCTTCATTGTAAAATGTATTTAGAATTTCGTAAATTTATAAATTTTCAAATTTCAACAAACGGAAAGCACAAAGAGAATTTCATCGTCCCCAAACTAAGATATTGTATTGTAATGTAAAATTAAATTTATTATAGGATTATAAATAAGCCTAATATTATCCATTGGAAATTAATTCCTCAAGAAATTAACTCCTTTATATCATCCCACAGAATAAATCTAAATGATTATTTAAATAATTTAAACAAAATGGAAGAAAAAAAGGAAAGTTGATAGAAGAAAGAAAAAAATCACTGGACAAGTGATCACCTATTCAATAATAAACTGGTCAAGAAATGAAATTGTAGAAAAAAATTTGTACAAATAAGGAGCACTTGATTATTTGCTGATAACGTAATCTCCATCACTCATTTTAAAATTAAAATTAAAAATTTGTTTAATTCTTTAAGTTGATGGAAATTGAAATAATAAAGAAATAAGTATTCCTTGTTTTCCTTGAAACTAAAGGAAAACATGGATGTGTTAACTTAAGCATTTAAAGAAATGTCACAATGAATTAAAATTATCTCAACTATGATTAATACTTGCAACTCCCTAACTTCTCTATATAGAATGAATTTCTAGAACAATTTCTTGGCTAATTTTAGTTAGCCATTATATCTAGAATAGCTAGAAATAAAATACTCTAAAGGATCGATCGATCAAAAGTAGCTGCAAATTTTTGAACAAATAAAGTCGTCCATTTGAGTTTCATTGAAAAAAATGAAACACTCAACTTTACTTTTTTGCGAGGCCTTATATTTGTTTTATGTACAAAGAGCTGTGACTGTAGCTCACAATAATTTGAGAAATTCAACCCATCATAAACAACTAGTAGCATTGGTGGCACTGCTAAGATGCAGCGAATCTCCGGGAAAAGCTACATGTTTTGGGATGATACATTAATTTCTAGCAAACCTTGTAAAGTTTGAGTATTGAATGATCTAATCTAAATACATTCTTTCTTTTCGAGACTTCTCGCTTCGTTGCTTAAAACACAAATAATTTGGACGCATGCAAAACAAGCATGCTAGCAACAAATTTTATCGTAGAAGAATTTAGTCAATGAAGTGAAATACAGAAGTCGTACGATGATAGCAATCCTAAATGATAAAAATAAATTCTTTTACGAGTTCTGGTTATGATTTGGCAACAGAAATAATTTACGGAATACGAATCTTGAAAAAAAAAAAACCGGACAAACGCATAAGCAGCTCAATAAATACATGTAAAATCTCAAATGAAAAAAACAGATGTCATGAATTACTGGAGAATACTGAAAGAAAAAAAAATATATGCAACAAAGAAATCAAATATTCAGGAAACACTGAGCAACAATAAACAACAGTAACAATAAGTGTTATCAGTATGACAGTAACAACACAAAAATATTTCGAGAAGCTGATATAGTGAGAAAAGTAAAGAACTAAAACAACCGTAACTGTATCACGGAGCAGGTAATATAACCAAACAGAATGGTTTCGAGAATTATTTGAACCTTACTGAACAAAAAACTCTTACCTGGGCACTCATCTTTCTGTACAATTCTGGGTACTTTAACTTTAGATATCTACAAATGCAGATCATTTTGGTTAGAATAAGATTACAGTATTAGTTCGAGGCTTCGAAACAAGAAATAAGATTCTTGAAAATCTGTAAGTTTGTAAATAATATAATACAAAGAAAATGACTGCAGTATGTAATGAATGTATTAGAAGGCAACAGCAATTTAAGGTTGTACGGTTTAGCAGATTCATATCCGGGAAATGATAAGAAATTCATTTTGAGATATAAGTAGAATAATCCACTAATCACAACATTCAACAAAGAACGAGATTATATACACTAACTTCATTTGATGTATACTCTGACTTCATTTATTGTACAGCGTCAGAGCTTTTCTTCACAAACAACCCGAGGCCTCTCTCACAAAGAGCAGGCTAAAATTAAATAATACTCTATACCACCAGGTGGTATTGTAGAAGAAAAAAGAATACTGATGAAAAGCCATCGATAATAAAACCACAGTTGGTATATTGTTACCATCAGTCATAATCATCAACTTGAAATCTTCATATTAAGGTCAATCTGACCACCAGCCCCGTCTGTTATGCTTTCTGCATCCAAAGCACTAGGTCCATTGTTCCCTTCAGATGACTTTTCCAAAATATCAAATGCTCCATCGCCGTTCTCAGCAATGCCGGGACTGCTTCCACAATCATTTGAATGATCGAAATAAGATAAACGGTCAACCACAATTCGCAATTCTTAAATTATTATTCATTAAGACGAAATGTAAACACAGTTTCAGCTTCTGAAAAATTAAAATATATTCTGTACTAAGTTGGTTGTTCTTTATTATATATTTATTATGACATGTGGATAGTCCCAAACACGTACCTTTTTCCCATTCATCTGCTTCTTCTGGCAGATTAATTAAAACATCACCGTTTTCGGGCAACAGCTGTCGAGCTTTTTCTGGAGGAATTGTTCTGCAACATAAAGCTATAAATAAGGAAAATAAACGTTTCAAAAAAATGTTTGGTAATTTTATTTCAACTAACATTGGCACAAATCCACCAGATATTTTATCCATATATGATTTGATTTTTTCCGCAATTTTGGTAAATCCAAATGATAAAGCATCATCATAGGCAGTCCTATTCCACCTATAATAAAATGATTCGTTATTGGATTTTCTATTCAATATCTCATGCTTCCACATTATGATAAGGCATATCTCGCATTGTGATCACGAATAATTTTCTCCCAGCTACTAATTTTGCTTAGACAAGCAAGTTAATATCTTTGACTTCATAAAGTATATAATATAAGTTCATGAATCCAATAGTTTTTTAAAACCTTTTTCAAATATATAATTCAATAACACGAGAGACCCCACCGTTAGGATGGGATCACTTTCGAAATTATTCAAAAAAAAAAAAAATGATATTTTCATCATTTCGTGCCACTTGGCATCTTACTACAAAATTATCCGACATATCTAATTTAAGAAAAAAGATTTAGACGAACTACAGCACACCATACCAATCGATTATATGGCTTTCCCCTGTGAAATCATCACAAATTAAGTACCATTTCTTCAAGGATTTCTTATGTAAGACTAAGCAATTCCAAACATCTTTACAACTAACCTATCCCTCACAAGTGGATTAACATGAGCAATGTCGAGAAAGAAATCCACCATCAAAGACTGTCCTTCTGAAGCAGCTAAATGCAACGGCGTGCGACCATCATAGTCTGACATATTCAAATCAATACCACCCAAAAACATTCTGAAAAATTTAATTACAATTTATGCTGATTATCCCACAAAAAAAAAGTTAATATAAAATGTTAATTAACGTGAATCCCATTTCTAATTTTTCCCTTCAAGCTTTAAATATAAAAATTTTTAAGTCACTGTCCTCCAAATCACCATATACTTAGATGCAAGCCATTAACGCTAGTTTATGCCATCGGCTTTGAAACTGCCTTACTTCATTCGGCCATTCAAGACAACATTTTCTTTGTCCTCACTAAAGTTTCTAAGGGATACGTACCTTCGAACATCATCAATGTTGCCTTTCTTAGTCGCAAACATCATTTCCAGAATTAATTCGGATTCATTTGGAACCCACGTTTTCGAGGATCAATTTTCTTGGTATCTGCATGCAGCAAACTGTCATAGTTGTGAAAATTAAAAGTTTCAATCATTTTCTGAAAAATTTAAATAAACAATAGAGATGTTTTAATTTTTTGAAAATTCTTTTGTGATAACTAATCAGTTAACCTTTTTATATGTAAATAATTTTAAAAAAATATACCTTACAGAAGCTTACACCACGCACACTGTTACCCATTTTATCCAAAGGTGGCGACCAGATGCAAATTCCCATCAAATTTGGTACCACAACGACCATCGCTCCAGAGACACCAGATTTTGCAGGTAAGCCAACCTAAAATAATATTGATAAATAAGAAATAGATTATATATTAGATATTTAGGTTATATACGCATAATACGTTATATATTGGATAATGATTTCCGTCACAAACAAAAGCATTTTAACTTACTTGAAACGCAAACTGGCCGCTGTAGTCGTACATCCCACATGAATACATCAGTGAAAGAACATCTCGACACGGCCGAGCACTAATGCATATTTCGTTGGTAAGAGGACAAACACCTATGGAAAAAAAAATTACAACTCTCTATTTATTCTAGGAAACGACAATTGAGAAATAATGCACAGAATAATATAATACGATGTACTGAAATTAATTTCTCAGAAGCCTGACTAGGACATTATTTTACGCTTAACTGATATATTAAGTAGAAAAATAAATTACAAATGTCAAGTCTCACCTCCATTAGCTAAAGTAGCTGCCATTACCGCAGCACTTTCACACGTTGTTTCCAATGAACACAACTGAAAATAGAAATCCAGTTCATCCCGGAGCGATATGGAACCAGGGAAGCAATTATTTTCTTTCATGTAATAAGAAAGCGCGTAATTACGGTCTGCAGTATCACGTTCCGACAAAAAGCTGAAAAATGTCTCGTCAAATAAAAAAATCTTTGTTAAGCATCGAAGGTTTTCTTTTATATAACGTATACTTCAGTGAAGATATCTTTTAGAAGCTTTTAACAATCAAATTTTATTATAAAAAATAAACAAGCAGCCCTAATAATGTAAAACATTAAGTGAACAAAACAACATGAACAACAAAAACTTACGTCGCATTATTAAAGCCTATATATCCACCTCCTGCAAGTTTTCTGTATTGGGTTAGCACCTGCAAACATTCTGACTCAGTTTAAATTTCGAATTCAATTAATTCCACCTCTAGTTGAATTCGGCTCAAAAAAACATGTTTTTTTTTCTGAATTTAAAAAAAAAAATGCTCCATCCTTTTGGTAAAAAAGGTAAATTTCTTCAACTTAGAAAACATGGAAGCTATATAAAGAGGGATGAGTTTAGTTCATAAATTATAGTCACCAAAAGTTGATACAGAGTATTAGAGATTGCCACAGATAAACTTACAAAATCATAACGATCAGCCATTTTATGTCCCATTTTCAGCAATGATGTAACAATAATTGCTCCAGCATTTATGAGAGGATTATGTGGTTTACCTGTCAAATAATTTACATGATTTTAGACCTTGGTTGTTCAATATGAACCAATAAAACAGTCTAGCTTTTTGTTAGAAAGAAGTTAGCATGAACCACAAGAAAAGATGAAATATTTGCTAGATAACTTGAAAAAAAATGGAGTATCTTAGGTAACATAAATGCTCACCATTGCAATCCAGACATATTTCATTGAATAATCGCCCAGATGGTTCATGGCCAACATAGTTGTGAACAAAATCTGCTCCCAAATCAGACGCTACTATTGCATAATTGAAGGCTAGAAAAAGGATTTTTCAGCATGGATTGTGACATGACCAGTAATTACGTAAATTATCTTTAATATCAGAGCTCTAGAAAATAAGTGGTTTTTGTAACTTATTTTTTAAATTCTTATTTATTTATTACCTTTTGATATGGACTGAAAACAAAACGGTACACGAGCGTCACCGTAACTGACACGCTGTCCATCAATTGTACATATCGAAAGACCCCATTTCTTCGGATCTACTCTGGCTAATTGAGGAATATAATTTGCTACTTTGCCTTCATGAATATTCGCACACTAAAATTAATTTGCTGGAGACTTAAAGGTTAAAGAAACCCAATATCGAGTGCAACTTTTTATAAATTATAAACTTCCTATAATGACCAAAACAGATATTAATAAGTCCTTCGAGCAGAAAGTAATTCATCAGAAACTTAGACCTTAGAAAAAAGAATATTTCCTAAAGCAAACCTCAAAGTGCCAAAAAAGGGAGACCTGGGCAGTAAGACAAAGAGAAAGTTAATTATTAGAGAATTACAAAAAAGAACGGAATGATGCAAATATAGAAAAACTACTTCATCAAAAATTTCTTTGATCTTGGCAGTAAATTCGCCCCAACATGGAATAATCAAATCGTTGCGAAGCGTTTGGGCAATTAAATTGATGCTTGGCCGAATACATCTAGAATTAATTCTTGAAGGTAGCACACTGTTGTACTGAACTTACTATAACCACATTCAATTTTATAAAACAAAAATGGTTCGCAAGGTGCAAAAGCTACGGAATGAAAAACGTTTTGTTTGTTTGAATGATGATTTTTGAAGATCACGAAGTGACGCTAATCTGTAAATTAACTACTAACTCCTTGAACTGTTTTTTATTTAACAAGCAGTGTCTAGTATCACAATCATCCTCGATTTGCAGTTCATATTCATGCATCTTTTCTATTGTATGCTTCAGCCGTGGATCATCTTCACGGATGCCGAATGATCGCAATACCTACAAACAGAAACCATTAGTTCTTGAAAACTTCTGAAAGTGAGAACAACAGAGAACTGCGAAAATTAGAAAATGATATTTTCTGATACTAAAGTATTCCTTCCAAGCATGGAAATTTCCCTGCATATTTTTACTAAGAAAAATAACAGTATCTTACAGAAAGTAGTTTTCCCAAAGAAGCTTCTTCGGGTTTTTTGGAGCATTTGAAGAGATCGTACGTAAGGTCTTCCTGTGATGGATGTGAAAGCTGATACACATGCTTCAAACCCTTAGCGGTATCATTCAGCAGTCGAGTGATAGATGATTTCGGTTGTTTTTCAAAATCTTGCTTACACTATCAACTGTAATGTGAAATGAACTTAATAAAAATATTGTAAAGTATTAAAAATTTAGAGGGTAGAAAAAGTCGAACGAAAAGATCGAGCACTGAGAATAAGTTTCAGTCGATCTTCGATCAGCTCATAAAATCATCCACTAACACATCACTATTAAAAGGTTCATAAAAGCGAACAAGCAGAAAAGAAATCAAACTAAACGAGAAAAACTTCAAATCCAATAGTTCCAATAGCAAATACTGAAAAATTGTATATAAATAAGAGAAATGAAAGGTAGAAAAAGAAGGAATATATTTTCATATTACAAATATAGAATTACCTGCAGCAGAAGCGCACTTATATTCATCGCCTTCCATTGCTTCACAATTTTTATTGCGCTGCTCTTCAGCTAACCGATACTGAAACCATTTCAAATTTTAAAACTTGATAGGCTATCGCAGTATGGAGAATCTTTTTGATGTATTTATAAAAATTTAACGGATGCATCCATGTAAACTGCTAACTTTTCAAATATATCTGTATGCCTAAACAATCCCTCCATTTAGAATACAACTTACAAAAAAGCAATCTGTCAGCTTTCGGAATACACCACACAGCAACTTCGCTTCCCCGGAATATACCTACCCATTCAGGTAATAGGTCAACCCCCGAAACATATCATCACACAATCAATATATGATCTGGAATTGATGCCGGAGCAAATGCTTAAATTTCGATCAGTCGGCACACGAACCTCTATTAGTGCGAGTAGTTTCGACAATGTCGCGTGTTTTTTAAAGTTTGTTGTTAAATTTCGTTTGTGAGGTTTGTAAGCCTTTTTCCGATTCTGACTATTCAGGTGCAATTCGAAGTTAACTGGAATTAGAGTGCTCGAAGAAACTAAATGAATGAGTCAGCAGTTAGAAGAGGAAGAAACTAATAATTCAAACTGTTGATTTAAAATTTTTTAACCAAAAGAAAAACTTGAAAATTTTGCTAAAAGTTTTTTGAAAGAATCTGAAAAATTTTTACACTATTTAAAATGAGGAAAAAATCTATGGAAAAATAGCTATTCTTGTGTACTCTCCCTTCTTAATCATGCATCCTTTCTCTTTCCCAAAAATCTATGATGAAATTAGTCGAATTGCTGTGTTAGATTGTGGTTAGATCCTGTTATTTACATTAAAAATTTTAAATTGGCTAACCTTAGTTCGTAAAACATTGATCGGCGTTCCACTATACATTTTCACTATACGCTTGGAATCAAATCACACCACTAGCGTTCCGTTCAATAATTCTTGGATCCTTTATTCTATTATATATGAATTCGTTAATTAACCTTTTGAAAAATCTTTATCATATACTCGTAAAAAGAACTTTTTTTTTTTTCAAAAGAAAAAATATAATTTTATTTTACTTAAGCATTGTGAGACAAAAAATATGGGTGACACTCACGCAGACATTCGATGAATTAATGAAGGAAGAATGTACTTACAACCACACACAATCGATTACAACTATCATGCAATTCGCTCAGTGTTTTTTTCTTTTTTTTTTTTTTTTTTTTTTTGCTTTCTATATGGGAAAAAGACGTTTCATGATGGATTATAGGATATTTCGTAAAATATAGTCAAATATCATTTCTGGGTGCTCCGAACATGATAATGTGATAAGTGGGTGTGATAACATTTGATATGAACATGGCTGATTATGATTTAGAATTAGGTACAATCTAGTGAGTTATGAGTCATAGAAATAGGCTTAATGGAATTATATAAACAAATTCCTCTTTCTTATACCATCTTACGATGCAAAAACAACCCAAATTCTTGGATGAAGCAACACTATTTATAAGAAATGTTATTAAGAAATAAAAATTCTAAAATTGAGAATTTTCAAGAAGAAAAATTGAAATTATTATTAGGAATTCATTGTTAATGATCCGGAAAATTGCCAGTATGAGTCACCAATTTAATAACTTAATACTGAACAAAATTTTAATGTGAAAGTTCTGTGATTTATTAAAGGAAAAGTGGGTACTGCTTCTTTCTTCAAGCAACATTATGTGAGGAGTGAAATGTGAAAAAAAAAATTTAGTTTGAAGGTAGGAAAATTAATGGACGCTTAGACTGCAACTGTATACCTTCTAGTTTTACATTTTATCACAATGATTGAAAATAAGATTGAAAAAACGAATTGGTAATTCTTCTTATCATTTAAATAAGCAATTCCATTAATGTGACATTAATATAGCAAATAAAATTTTTAGACCATAATCACATGTCAGTATGCAAATTTTCACTTAAGCATATTTGAGAAATGATAATTGGGAATTTTTCTTCCCTTCCTGCTAATTTTTTTAAGAAAAAAAAATGGAAAAGGCAATATTGCAGAATAATTGCACCAAGTTGATGAAAGTTTGCCCAAAATAATTATACTACATTTCTATACATAATATTTTTGTTGCGCAAGGTTAATTGGTGATAAAATTAAAAAACCTAAAGTCTTTTAAATCTTTCATCTTTCATAATAGATAAGTCATCTGACCTGAAATTTAATTCAGGAATATTTTAATATAATTTTAATAATAGTTATAAATATAAAAAAATTATACTGAACCCATGAATTATATATAAATTATCCTAACCCTATGTTTGTTTACACAATCGATATGACAAAGATCTAGGATTTTGATTAAGCAATTCTCTCTCTCTCTCCCTCTCTTCCTCTGTTTTCTCGCTTATTTCAATCAGAGAATATTAAAAGTGTTAAATTCCATAGTACAATCAATTTTAATTGTTACGGAATTTAAAATATTTGTTAAACCAAAAAAAAAAAAGAGAGAGAGAGAGAGAGGAGAAGGAGACTACTTACTCATTGATGTTATATTGCAGAATAGCAAAAGAAGGTGCTAGCAAGGAAAGGTCATAAGGTTAAAGAGGAAGACATTTTGGTCAGTTAAAGAAGACAACAAAGTGACATAATAGCAGCATACATTGGAGCAGAATTTCTCACAATTAAACTGTTTCATTTAGTTTCTGTTTATCACTAATATTATTTCAATTAATTGCCAAAATGTATCAATGTAATATATACTATGGTAATATATCATTGATTGACACATATCATTGACATTATTCATTATTCATCTCTGTTACATTCAATTTTTTTTTAAATAAACTTTTCATTGATAGAAGAAATAAATGAACAGAAAATAAATGCTATCTAAAAGAGTAAATGTTGAAATATAAAATCATCTGTGTCATCTAAATCTTTTCTTTTTTCAAGTTTTTACATCAAAACGATGAGTCAGTTTAACATATTAATGTATTAATCAAACATTCCAATCTTAATGTCTCCTTCTATCATTCCAGATATTAAAAATAAAGTTGGGTTATTTTTCAAAGTTCTTTTTTTTTTATTTTCCAACAAGTAAATTCCTTGTGAATTTTGTGAGTAATTCAATTCATTCACAATCGAATATCATCTAAATGAACAATACTTGAAAAGAATTTCCTTTCATCCCTTTCTATTTCACTATTATATTTAAATGCTCACTTCAAAATATTTGGGATTTAAACAGAAATTATAAAGAGAGTAAAGGGAAAGCATACCAAAGAGAAAACAATCAACTTTAGGTATTTGGAATATATAATTAAAATATACAAATCATTTACTAATTTAAATTATATCAGTACACTGTATGTAATAAAATTTAGGCTTAATCAGATGGATTGATTTAAATAAATTACTTACATACACTGATAGTGTAATTTGTGATCTTCTACTTGATAAGTTAATTAAAGTTATATGGATAATTAGGCTTGGTTTAGATAATTATTATGAGTAAATATGACTTGCATTGTATGAATTAATGCTATGTAAAATTAGCAAATTCTCTTATGCTTGATTTTTTTCTTTGAAAAAAAAATAAAAAATCGTAATTTTTTTTTTCTTAAATTTAGAACATTCAATTTGATATGATCGTTGCAAATCTAAAAATTCTATGCATCTATAAAATTTACATTTGAAAGTAACAAAATTTGTTCTAAATAATTTCGGTGGGAAGAAAACAGTCATAGTGTACCGTCAATGCGTGGCGAATTTTAATTGGGAGATATGCGTGGGAGTTAATTTCATTTCAATTTTGTACTTTTGAATTTTGGTTGGGTATGTCTTATTTGGAGCTAATCCATGTAATCATTCTTCTAGATTTCAAATAGGAAGGAATAAGACTAATAGATTGATGTAGAGAGAGGAGAGGAAGACAGAGAGAGAGGAATTGATGCGATAAGATGTTGATTTCTTGACTGATTATCTTATTGTTAGGATGTGTGCAAAAATTTATAGAAAATTTTATAGAAATAATTGTGATATATAGAAAAATATATACATATATATTCTATAGAAAACTTTATTGAAATAATTATATAGAGAGAAAGAGAATGTAGAAAAAAATTACAGAAATAATGTGATACGTAGAGAGAAAGAATTATAACAATATTATGAATTCATGAAGTGTGAGAGTTTGTGGTCAGATGATAATAGAGAGATTGATTTGATGAAACAGATCGTTTCATTTTTTTTTTTCCATTACATAGTAAGAAAAAAAAAAAGCAGGAATTATTAGGAATAAATGATTTTACAGTGTTCTTTTCTTTTTTTTTTTTTTGTTTTCCTATTTCTATTGTTGCAGAGAATGACTTCTTTATATAGCATCAAAGGAATTGCTATACTGGATCAGGACGGTAATCGTATCCTTGCCAAGGTATATTGAATTAGTATACTTTATTTAGCTGAATACGATACTATTAACTATCTGATTTTTTTAGTTTGTTAAATGGATCACTATACTTTTTTTTTTTTTTTTTTTGATATTACTATTTTTGGTTTATATTTGCTCCATTTTGCCCATATCTTAAAGGTGTAAAATGATTTAAATAAATAAATTATTAAAGAATTCACAATATGTTAATTTCATATTGATTTTGGAAACATTCCTTGACAAATGTAGAAGTTTTTTCTTTTTAGTATTATGATGATAAAGTATTCCCGAGTACAAAAGAGCAGAAGGAATTCGAGAAAAGCCTGTTCCAGAAAACGTGCAAAGCAAATGGTAAAAGTCTTATCATGAAGTTCCTGTTGTTTTTTGTTTTGAGGGGTGTTGATGCTAAAATCTTCGTTAGAGTGTGTAGCTTGTGCTTTCACAAATGGACAGGCTATTCTGTCTAACTAGACAATCTTTTCAGGACTTTCCAAGATTCCTCATTAATTGGCTATTGTTTTGAGAAAAATTACTGGTTCATTGTAATTTTTTTCACTCAATTTTGCAGCCGAAATAATTTTATTAGATGGAATGATCTGTGTGTATCGGAGCAACGTTGACCTATTTTTTTACGTAATGGGTGATGCAGATGAGAATGAATTGATCCTTGTCTCAGCACTCAACTGTCTGTACGATTCAGTCTCACTGGTACTGCGAAAAAATGTGGAGAAAAAAGCACTTATCGATGATATGGATATTGCTATGTTGATCATTGATGAAATTTGTGATAATGGGTTTGTGGATTGGTTTCTCTTACATTCGATTGCTTCAAAAGCTTGTATGAACTGTACAAAAAAAAAATCCTGAAGCTGCAGAAAACACTGTCAACCCTGATTCAGGAATTTGTCGTGCTGGAAATAAAAAGTTTTTAAACTTTTAGCATTTCTAAATAATTGGAGCTTCAGAATTGTTTCATACGGAGATTTAATAACTGTATTAAGAAAAAATTAGAAAGGTGGCTTCGATAGGTTTTTATATTTGCATTTGACTGAAGATGTGCAAGCAGCTTTTGAAGTAAGTGAATACTAGGTGGTTGTAAGTCCAATCCATTAGTTTATTCATTCAAAAAGCACGTGAAAGTGGGCTTCCCAATCTCACATTTTTATGCTCACAGCTAAATAATATACCATTTAAAGTCCAAGCTACTAAGCAAATTTAGATTCGATAAATCTAGTTAATCATAATCTTATATCTGTTTTATTTGCAGTGTTTTAATGGAAACAGAACCACAGGCTGTTGTAAGTCGTTGTGCTTTACGAGCTGATGAACTAACGTTTGGTGATCAAAGCATCTCACAAGTGGGAATGTCGGTACGCATGTCTTAAAAGCAGTCTTTTCCATTGAATTTATTATTTCGATGTAATTCATGGCAGATGCATGCTGTAATATCAGGAAGGAAGTGTTTGTTATGTACTATTTCTTTATCTGAAAAAGAACTCAAATCAAACGACTGGTTATGCAAGTTAAAGAAATCGTTTGATTTAAGATCTTTTTGCTATTTTCGCAATGGCCTATTTCTTGCTTATTGGGAGGGTTTTCTTCTTAATGACATAAATTTCCTGTTGCTTTTAATGAATTACATGTCTCAATGTAACACTTGGAATTATGGTTTTGAGAAGCGAAATTAAATGGTGAGTTAAATAGTTGAAGCCGTTTCTCTTCTCGCATTACAAATAGTTTCTTGGTTCTTTTCTTTTTTTTTTTTTGGCTTAAACGGATTCATTTCTTGAACTTTCTCATTGTTTCCACTCAAATGAGTATGCCGAGCTTTATTTAGCTCTTCCTTGCTTTACGTTTTGTTATCATTTTTTAACCAAAGCGGATAATTTAAATTATTCAAATTAAGAAAATAGTAACTGGTGTGGCTCATCGCTCTGATTTTCATAGAGTGCAACTTTCTGTAAACTTTGCTTTTGACTGTTAGAGTAGCCTGTATATCAAAATTCAAATAACCATTGGAAGAGTTCAAGATATGGCTTATAAGCGTCGATTTGACTTGCTTTTGCTTTTTTGTCCTTACAATCTGTATTTCTCTGTGTTGATTTTATTGCATTTAACACATCGATTATACTGGAAATGAAAACTCTACCAAGCTGAGGTATTATAGGCAGTAATTTAAGCGATCTCAAAATCGATGTGCTAGTCGCATGTGCATGTTGCATGTTTTATAGGTGTTTGCAGTTCTAATAAAATGGAATTAAAGTGATAGAAAAGAAAAGGAAAATTTGCTGTGGTCTTGTTTGTTTGGTCTTATATCTACATGACCAAGCATGCTATTCCTTGTTGTGTGTGAAAAAGAATTTGGATACGGAGTATCTCAAACAATCATAACATCCATTTTTTATTTGATTCCCCTCTATATTTGAAAGTTGGATAGGTTCTATTATTATCGATTATGTTATTCGTTATCGGTGGTCCCATATATGTAATTAATCATATAATGCAATCGTCACTTGAAGTAAATCCATTGAAAATTCATTCTTAGTATAGCAGTGTTTATATTTCATCTGACATGAAGATGGGTTTCGATCGCTGCAGCTAATGCGCAAAATGTTTCAGTTAATTGGTTCGGCAAAGGAGCAGTTGAAGTGGTCTCTTTTGAAGTAATAAACAAAGAAAGACGGATTTTGAAATGTCAGTGTAATTATTGATGACGCTAAAGTTATTCACATGCATACGGTATCTACCTGTGTGTCGATGGTGATGGATTATTTTCCTTTATAATTCTGTTTTCTGATGTTTTGACTTTTTCGTTGGGTTGTCAAGAATTTAGGGAGAATCGTTCCATTTTTCTTATAAAAGTTTGGACACATATGAATTGTTTATACTCTTAAATTCGTTTCGTTTTATTGTCATGGAAATTGGGTAATTCAAGTGATTGAATATTGAGTTTGTTTTCTACGCTTGTTTTAATTAAGCATTAGCCTTGCATATCCGTCCCACTGTTTGCAAATAATTTTTTCGGAAATTTCATTTTTTTTTTTTTAAAGTGCTCGACCTTTGATATGCTGTTGTCATCATTTTTCACACGCCAATCACAGCTGTCCTGCCCTCGCTCCCAAATGCATCTTTTTTTTTCTGAACTAAATTATTTTATGCCTCTCTGTTTTGAACTATTATTTAACAGTGATACATTTATGGTCATCATTTTTGTGTAAATTCTTGAGATTCATTATCACTATATTTTTGACAAGCACAGTCGAGAAAGTCAGGAAGATTTGATATTTGATAAAGATTTGATATATTATCGAGAGTGATAAATGTTATTTTTTAAATTGTTTGTTTGATTGTTTTTGTTTAAAGTAAATATAAACACTTAAACTTGGTTAATTTCCTGGTTTTTATTCCTTTTCACAGATCAGGAAAGTGTGCAAATCAGATAGTCACAGATTTATCTTTCCTAATGAAATTACGGAAACTTCCGGATAACATTTCGTCCCGGACAACGTCGGGACTTATCTGGGAGGTTTCTCTCCGCACTGATTTGAGAAATACTCATTTTTAGTTCTGAGTTTAATGAAAAGAAGTGCGAAGGGAGTACGTTTAAGAAGTTTTGAGCGAAACCAGCAGGGAATCAGTCCCGGAAATGCCCTTATATTTTGATATCTTTTTGTTACAGAGGAAAGGCGAACACAGAAAAAGCTAGATGAGTTTGTTGTCAAGCATGAAAATATGCAAATCTGATTGGAATTCAAATTTGTTTACCTTTTTAGCTACACGGAAGTCAAAAATATGCATAAGATGCCTTCGCTGTGTCGAAGTGACCGGCCTTCTGATCGATTATCTTCAGCTGAAGTATCCCGTAGACAAACTAAGAAGGCGAAGGTATGCTTTATCTGTTTTGTGAAATGTAAATGAAATAAATTTTTTTTTTGTGCCTGTATGTCATCAGTTATGTTATATTTATTTCTATGTTATATTATTGTTGAATTCATAAGCAATGCACTGAATGATTAATAATGTGAAATATCGAACTGATCACAAACTTATGGGAACTTGTCACAGTGGTATGTATAAATAACTTCAAATTAAACAACATTTTAATACAAGGCAAATATTTTAATCAAAGGAAGATTCTGTCTCCGAATAGTCTTATCTTTCTTTGACCAATTTCTCATTTCATTTTGTATTACAAGCAATATTGGTAACTATCCCTTCATTGTTAAAGTATATCTCCGACCTGGTAGTATTTGTTCTATTTCATAAACCCAACGAGAAAAAAGTTGATTTTGAATTTTATTAAATTGAAAAAAATATAAAGCCTACACAGAGCTGAGCGTAAAAATTGTCCTTTTATGGAGATTATTAGTTTTATTAAATTCTGGAAATCATATTTCTGATGGAGACTATTATTTTTATTAAATTTTTTGGGATCAAAACATGTTTTATATATTTGCTGGGTTGAAATTGATCTGTTGTCAGTAGCAAATTCTCGTCGCTGATTTGGTATTTTTAAACGGGTTAAATTGTAATATAAGTCTCCGAATTCGGTACTTTTGCTCAGTGTTTGCTCAATTTTAATATTCACTTCTTGTACGATATTTATATTTCCAGTAGTCATCCCATATAATCCTTTGTGCCTTTTTTTCTCGTCTCAGAGTTTTGTTATTCCATTTTGGTTTGTGTCTATATATGTATTGTATGTATGTTCAACAGTTTAGCTACTTTTTGACACTTTGTGCTTCGCAAAGTTAGTCATTTTTGAATTATTCTCGAACTGATGTGTTTATTTTTGGGAATTTGTCGTAATGCTTTGATCTATTGTGTGTTTAACTTTCTTCGGAAATAATGTACTTCAAAACAACACATTAAAGTGCATTCAATGAAAAAGCACTGGAGAGAAATGAGAATTGTATGAATGTGGGGTAGTGTGGCTTCCGTGGCGCAATCGGTTAGCGCGTTCGGCTGTTAACCGAAAGGTTGGTGGTTCAAGCCCACCCGGGAGCGGTCGCTTTTGCAAACTCTAGAGAGTTTATATGACAATTTATGTTTACTTGTCTTTCATATGATATCATTTCATTACTAGTTGTACTTGTTGTATACCTATTTGATTGCATTCCATCTTAATATGAAGGCATTATTATACATGCATTGACGAATTCCGAGAAAAATCATCGCAAATGAAAACACTAATAAAGTGTGGTAGGTTGAAGTTCACGTAGATTTATTAAATTAAATGCTTTTTAGAAGAAAAATACCAAGAAACGAAATAATGGATCAGTGATGAAAGAAATATCGGTATTGGAGGAGGAAGAAGAGGGAAAAGACGCTGAGGATGGCTTAACAGAAGGAGAAGTGGAAGAACAAAGCGGGAGTTTGTCAGATTATGAGGATGAACTGGATGGATTATTGAGGCATCAAACCACAATCGATAATTACTTCAATCAAGGAAGGTTAAAACCTTGTCATCGAAGTGATCGTGCGCGGCGAAAAAAGTGATTTTTGTGTTTTTTTTCTTCTGAAATTCGATAGAATCTGAGAACACATTGCACTACATAAGTTTTCTTTCTTCTTGTCCATAATTTTCATCAAATGAAATGAGATTCAAATCAACTGAAGAATTATGAGTGTGTACATTGCAGATACTTGTAGGAAGCTTTCCTTCACATTATTTTCAAATTATATATATCGTTCCAGTTTTTTGACCGAGGAAAATTGAGGAAATTTTTTCTTTTAGCTATGGAAAATGCGAATAGAAACATTCATCGTTCTGTCATTTCTGCAAATATACCTGGTGTATTTCTGAAGAAGCCCATTTAGTGTTATCGCTTATTTCGTTTTATATATATCGTCGTTAAATTTATTATGTGGAGCTATCATCAAAGATGAAATTTTTTCTTTTTTATAGACGAAAACAGGGTGAGGAAGATGGTGGAAACGGTCGTTGCAGTTCAGTTCAATGTGATTTACGCTTACTTTCAGATTGGTTTGAAGTAAGTATTCCGATTTTGTTCTATAGAATTCATGAAAATTTCATTATTTGGAATTTTTTAGAAAGGAAAGAATTTAAGCGAAGAAAGATTGACTTACATTGATGTTTATTGCAATTTTTTTAAGTTCCTGCTGAAATCAAAGATTTTCTAGAATATTCAGTTTTATTTATTGAGATTTTAGCAAAAAGGATTTTTGTGGAGAATTAATGAAAAGTTCAGTCTTTTTTTTTTCTTTTTGTAGAAATGTGATGGTTATCTTCCACGTGGTGTTATTCGAGAATATACTAATGCAGAACGTTTGTTTCCCCGTTGGTTAACGTATTTGGCAGCTGGTTTTAATCTGGTTGTAAGTTCAGATTATAATATTATATGCTGATTTCTTTTAGTTTACTATCTTACAGTGAACATTTTATTTGGTTCTATTGGCAGGATTTCCCAAAATAATCAAACTATAAAGATTTTTCCATTAATGCATGATATTCAATAAATTTTGGCTGTAATCAATAAACGAATTATTGTGTTTTGCTAAGCTTCCATTCGTTGACGTTGTTGGTTGACTTGCAGTACTGATAAGAAATAGAAATGGTTGTATTCTTATCATCAGTGAGCCCTTTACTTTGTTTTTGTTTGTTCTTTTAGATATTTATAATGAAATTGCTGTTAATTTTAGATCTTTGGGTTGGGTTCGAAACGGAAACTTGTGCAAAATTTTTGTGATAAACAATTACAAGATTACACATATATTGTTGTTGATGGTTTTCAACCAACGGTTAACTCACATATTATATTTCAGGTAAATAATTATGAAATAAATGTCATTCACTATTAATTGGTATTTGGATATAACTTCTGCCAGCAGTTATCACAAGATAGTAAAGTAACATTACTCACTATTAGCATTATCACTTGTTAACTGCTTAGCATTCTTTTTTACTTTTGAGATTTTCTTTGTTCTGAACTATTTTATTATTTTTTTTCGAAGATTTTTTATGAAACTGATATAATTAAGTATGCTAGAAAAATAATAGGTTATGGAGAAAATAAAATGTTTTTGTAGTGTTTGGAGAAAAATCTTTCACTGAAAGTGGTTGTGACGACTAAAAATCAACTGGAATATGCAAATGCCATTGGTCGTGCAATAGATAACAGAAATGAAGATGTTGTTCTTGTATTACATAACATTGATGGACCTGGATTGAGGTTTGTCTGCATTCAATATTGTTTAATGCATGATTATCAATCAATGAAGTAGATCTACTTATTTTCTTTTTTTAAAATACTTTTAAGAAGCAGTACTATTTGCAGGGCAACACTTGAACAGTGGGCTTTAGCCGAATTTGCAAAAGCTAAACATACTCATATCATTGCTACTGTTGATCATGTCAATAAAAGCTTGTTATGGACCCAAGTTCGATTTAGTTCTTATTCACATTATTTTTAGTTCTTATTCACATTATTTTCTCGATCACGTTTCTCATTCCTTGTCTTTTTTTTTTAAATATTTAAGCTTACGAAATTAAAGAAGTAAAAGGAATTTATTTTTGTTTACATATTTCAGAAGTTGTTAAATGCATTTAACTTTCTCTTCATCAATGTTAATACCATGCAAGCCTATAAAGCTGAAGTATTTGCTGGTTATTCGAAACTACTAGGATTGAATCCGAAAGGTTCAGGATATATGCATACATTTGCATCTTTGGATGTGGTCTGGATGTCGTTGACAAATAATTCTCGCTCACTGCTTCAACTTATTACCAGTTATTATTATCGTAAAAAGAAACCAGTGGAGTTTTTCGAGCTTTTTCATTTGGCTAGGTGATTTCTCTTTTCTGCTAAAACAGTTCAGTTGTTCATGTTGACTAATACGAGAGAAAAAAGTAATCTATTCTAAGATGGATTAGTATTTGAGTTTGTTTGGTTTTGAGGGATGAATTCTTGGTTTCAACGGATGCAGCATTACGACAACATCTTAACGAATACAATGATCATCGTCTCATCCTGCGAAAGCGTCATAGCGATGGCAATGAATACATATCGATAGCTGTGGAGGAAAGGGTGACTTGCCTTTTCTAAGCTTGAATTATAAAATAATCGTAAGAATTGCACATGCCCATAGATTAATTACTCACAGATTAAATACAGTTACTTATCATGAATTAATTATCAAAGAATCGACGTTTAACTGATATATGAGATTGCAGTTGTTTTATTGTCGAGAAATGAACTGTGATGAATAATAGGCTTTACTGGTAGTGATTCTGGAGAATTTATGGATTTGTTGACAGCTTGAGTAGCAGTTTAATGACGATATCATAACTTAGGGATTTGCTTGTTTAAATACCTGAAATCATATTGAGTGTAATGCGATTATTTAAATTAATTTACGAACATATAATCACTTTTTAATTATTGGAATTTTTTATTGAAATTTTAGACAATGATGGAATTCATGAAGGAAAAAGGAATGATTCTGGATGATGACGACAGTGATTAACATATTGATCTCTTTCTATCTTCACAAAAATGCCCTGAACTTAACACGAACTGAAAGGAATTTTTTCAAGTCCTTTTGTTATAAATTTATAGATGCATGAAAGGGAAGAAAAACATTATATTTTTTTGAGTATGTTTTAAAGTTATAGGTAAATTATGGATAAATATAATGGACGGCAAAACTACTAAGAATATAATGATTGAAACTTGGAGAAGCCTTGTTGAACATCACAAAAGTAACCTGTAGCATTTTTGATGATCTTAGTTGTAATCTACCTCTTGTAATCGATTAGCGTTTTCTAATACTAGGAATTCAGGTTGTGGAACAAGATTTTCAGTCTCTTACTAAGAAATCTTTGGTATTTTCTACAATTGCAAAGAAAGCTTTTCAAACTAATTTTAAAGTTTATGGATTGCAAACAGTTTGGAGTCAATATGATGAATTATGAAAAAGAAAGATGATTCATTTTCTGATGCTACCTTCAAAATGTAAATTATTGTGTGGGTTGGAAATTTATAGCCATAATCACGCTAAATTCGTTATTTCCTTAGAAAAATTGTTTGTAAGTTTTAGATTGAAGGCTTTCTTTAACTTCTTACCATCATTATTATTATTAGTACTCTCCACGGGTAAACTTCAGAGTGTGAGCAAGATTTAAAAAAAAAAAAAAATCTGTTGCATTGTTGCTTTCTTCCATGTATTTGCTCATTCTATCAAATCCATAATTGAACTTTTGATCTTCATTTTCATTTCCTCAGCAATATTGGCTATTTAATTATTGATAAAGAGTGATGTAGTTCGAATTGCTAAACCTTATTCTGCACTAATGCAATGTAGTATATTTTTTAACGCTTTGGTAAATTTTGAACAAAAGTATAAAATGGTATAATTTTTCTTCATCTGAAATGACATTGGAATGCTGGATACATTTAAAATTATGTATAGATTACCTTCACAATGAAGAAGAATAAGTAACAGTAGGATGAGGCAAGAAGCCTCCGGTGTTTTCATGAATTCTTCGGAAGCTTTCATAAAGCACTTTCCAGCATATTGAATTTGCTATTTTTTAAAGTTCATCAATTCTTTTCCAATCTTCATTTATTAGGAATAAGAATTGAACGATTGTTTTTTTTTTTTTTCCTTTAATTATGGTACTGGTTTAATCGTTGCATCGAAGTAAGGAAGTGAGAGAAAGAAAGAGTAAAGTTTTTGAAATTCGATATTTGTATAGAGGGTAAATTTGTGACAATTTTTTTTTGTTATATTTTCATTCAGGTTTAATTTGGCTGTTTCATTTCTGTTACTGGTAAAACCGGTCGGTCTTTCATTAGACTATAATTACTATTATTACTTTGCTTATGATTTAAGCATATCATTTCATTCAGCACTATGGGACAGTGTCAGTATGTAGTGGACAGTCTTCCAGCATATACACCTCAATTGGTTGCTTTCTTGATAGCTTTAGTGGAATTGATCATTGTTCTCATCGCTTATATCGCACGAGAAACTCAAAGAAAAAAGGTTGTTGATAGAAATTCTGCCAGCAATGGAAAATGAAATAAATTTGTGAAACTTAAAGCTAAAGAAGATTATGTATTTAAGTATTCAATTAAGTTATATTCCACTAATTAGGCAAGGTATAATACAAAAGAATGGGATTCAATGTTGGAACAAAATACAGACTTCGCCGGATTCTATTTCTTCATTTCCTAAATTAATAATTAACACCTAAAGATAATTGGATTCCATTCAATAATTCTTTAAACTGTAATGACTTCACTCATTAAAGTATTTTGATTTTTGGGATTAATGTAAATTCCAAGTTTTACGACACTAAACAATTCCTATGTTTACCTTCCAAACAGACCATTATTATTTTAATATTATATTTGAACTATCTGCTAGTAGCAGTAGCAGCCTGTTCCTCTTGAAGACCTTTTATGGGCGTGAAGATTTCGAAGATATTCCAGAGGAAGAGAAAATGGAACATGAAGGAGCTATTATGGGAAAAAATAACGAAGAAGTATGAATTAATCTGCAAAGTTTAAATATAAAAATTAAAGGGAAAAGTATCTAATACAAACAAGAATGTCAGAAAAAAAAAGATTATATCATTAACAGTTTTCATTATCATTCAATTGTAATACTCTCGAAAATGATATGATAATCATTTATGAGCTAGATAAGCTCATGCATTGCTTAATTTATACAACACATTAACTATAAAATTTTAGAAAAAAATGCTTTATATTCAAAATAAGTATTTTAAGCTTCATATCGTACAATCAACAGATCGAACAGCAGAGGTAGACGTTGGTGCGGTACCTGCATCAAGTGCTGCTGCTGCTACTGCTGCTAGTGGTGTCAAAGTAATGGTACGACGGAAAAAGGCTATTTCGTTAGTGAATTCTTTCTCTCTAATTTAGATTTGGATAATCAATAAATTCATCATATATATTTATTGTAAGAAAATTCTTACAGCGAGCAAACTGATTCGCTAACCAAAGAGGTAACTCCTGCAGATGCAAAAATTATCCGTTTCACATTGGAAATTGATTCAACAGCTCGAGGATTTGAATTTATCTCTGTGCTTCAGGTATCATGAAATTCGCATACTGTCAATTTTTTCTTTTTTTTTTTTTAATTTATTAAATTTAAATATGTGTAAATGTTTATTAAACTCTCAATTATCTTTATAATAACTGGAGAAAATATGCCTTTTAGAAAAAGCTTAACTAATTCATTCATCATCATAGATCTTTTTAAATCGTTTAAATTTGAAGTTGCATTTTCCTTATTAATTCAATTAAGCATATAACATTAAAATCTAGGTGAATTTAAGAATCTATCGAAAGAAGATACAAATGATTATAGTTCCCAAAATATTATGCAACAAAAGTTTACAACAGATTGTTATAGAGCGCTCTTCAAGAAGTCAGTGAATTTAAACACATTCGATTTAAACTAACCGATGAAGCCCAAGATCGGTTATGTGATTTCCTAGTTCGCAAAATGCGGTCAATTTTGGAAGAGGTTTCCATATTGAATTTATAAGTTAGAGTTGTAAAAATTGTTAATTTAAAAAGCATCTAAACATCTCTTATAGAAATTAATTTTATGAGCACCTAATTTCTACGTTTAGATTATAAATTCGCTTTCAAAAAAAAGTTTAAAAAAAAAAAAAAGAAATTTAAAAAAGATTTAAAAAAAAAGATTCTAAAAAAGATTCAAAAATTTAAAAAAGAAAAAAAATACTTCTTATTGAGAAAATTTGTTTGTTTGATGATGAAGTGCTCCTTATTGTTGATTGGTTGGCATAAACAAATCATTGACTGACATTATACGATAACTGTTGGACAGTATCAAGGTAATATCATAGGTAGGAATCATAGGAGTTCAGATTAAAAGAATATAACGAGAGTACTAAGACAAATCGAATTAAATCAAACATTAATCAATAAAATCTTTTAACCATGTTTTATAGTGGGCGTTGGCTTACAACAAAACGTATGATTAAAGTGAGTAAATAAATAGTTGTCACTCTTGATTGACCGACCTTTGCCCTTTGTATAGTGGACAGTTGATTTATAAAATTATGTAAATTACTTGTAAGAATGACTTTCGAGTAGAACACCTCTACTGCATTTAGATATTGTAGATAGGATTGCTTTGTAACAAAAAAGCTAATTGAGCAACGAGCTTATAACCTTTGAACTATCGAATATAAATTTGACTGTCACACTGAAAACTTTTAACAATAAAAGTGGAAGAATCTATTCACAACATATTAAGCAGTGACATACATCCTAGACAATGCACAGAAGTACAGTTACCATTGAATGATGAATGTTGGATAAATCATTTCTCACTTAACGTATGAAATTGAAATAGTTTTATGTTTCTTTAGTGAATATTCAAATAAGACAACCTTCACATTATAGATTTCCATCTTATATTTAGCATAAAATTACTTCGACATATTATAACTTTCGCGACATATTCAACTTATATTTTGCATCAACAACATCCAATTTTTTTGTTATTGTAGCAAATAATGAATTTCAAATTCAAATTATAGTCAACACAGCGTAAATGGCTGGTGCATGGAGTAATCCACAATAGAACTTGGAAAGTAAGCGGATTAGAAAATTTGCTAGAAAAAGGTGGTGATATCAGAACACAACAGATGCTTCGTATCACTGCGCAAGGACCAATTGCGCCCATTACTATTCTTGCTTATATGGTATGTTAATGCTGGAAAAGTTAAATTGGAATATTTTTTCCCAGAAAAAAAAAATCAATCGTCACTATATGATATTATAACTCAGATTGAAATTGACATAAAACTGGAACAGATGAAGAAACAATCGACACCATTAATAATCAGTAAAAAAAGTAGAAGCAAAGTACGTGAAGAATCTCCAACACAGTCTATTTCAAGGTAAAGATGTTCGTTCTAAAATAGCATCCAATATTTTCATATTAAAACAAGAAAAATATTTTCAAATTCTCATTTGTAAATATTCTTTTTGTGATTTAAAAGATAACGAAACCAGAAAAAAAGGTGAAAATATTCGATAAAATATAAAATTTGTTTAATGTTAAACAGTGAAATTATTTGAAGAACATTTGAGAAGACACCGCATATCAAAGCGAAACTTTCACCTGTTACACCAAATATCGCGACACCTGTACGTATATAATACAATGAATATAATATTACCATCAAATGACCTTTAATTTAAAAAAAAAAGAATTGATAAATTCAATCAATACAGGAACTAGAAATAATAGTAGAAAACATTAACATCTCCATTATTATTTTTTTAAATGATTTAAAAATAACAATCGTTTCTCGAGAAAAATAATGATAAGTTTTAGATTTAAATGGAAGTTCAGTTTAAAATGATATTACTTGAAGATTTCTAAGCGATAAAGAATCAAGTTAAGAAAGATTTTGGTAAATACCCAAAGCTGTTCAATATTAGAAATCCCTAAATGCTTTCGTATTAAGACAAATTATCTTACGACATTGCATACAATGAGTACTATACCATCTGAAAAATTGCCTACAGCGATGGATACTTTTGTCCATTCACGGAGCAGCAAGAAGGATACAGGTCATAGTCCTACGAGTATTAAACAGGTAGCTAGCTATTCTTTATGGTACTCAACATAGAAATTCACAGAAGATAGAAAGAGTCCTACATTGTCACTCGTACAATTCACATTATTTAAAATGCTTTCCTCCTGCAATCCAACTCATACAATTACTAAATTCAAACAACTAATTTAAACTTTTTTCAGAAAAGGACGCCGTCAATGTCATCTAGAAAAGGTTCGGTGAGGCAAATACGAAAATTTTCAACTGTCAGATACAGAACAGCAAGTGACACGGATGCTCGTTCAAGATTTCGCAGTCATCGAAGTAGTGAAAAACCACCAACAGAACATACACAAACCGAACAATGATACAGTCTCGAAATTCCTATCTGTCGAAAATTATTGTTCATTCTCAGATTTCTTTAAGAAATGTTAGTTGTACTGCTCAGTAGGTAAGCCACTATAGTTTAATCGCAAAATTAGATTTTGGTCTATCCCAAGTTTTAAGTCAAGATTTAATTTTTTTCTTTTTTTTGCATTCTTCTTTAATGCAACGTCTGCTGATTCACAGTCTAGTAAATTCGAAGTTTGGATTATTCATAAATCTTACAATATGTATTCTCATCTTCACACATTCTCTTTCATTAATCCCAATTTGTTTGTCATTTTATTTAATGAATACCTCTCTAAACTGTCTTCAACCAGAACATACAACAGTCATGTTTTGTGTTTTTATTGCAAAAGTTATTATAATGCTTATTGTCAGAGTTGAATATTTCTTCAAATTTATCTCTTTAGAGAAAAGTCAAACTATAAATTCAGAGTTTTCTTTAATCAGTACAATAGTTGACTCGATGATTGCTACACAGAAAAGTATAGCAATCCCCAACATAGCAACTATCTTAGGATGGTGACAGATAACAAATATTGTTCCGTTCAGAATAAGAACCAAACCATACTGTTACACTTATTAATATTGATATCCCAGAAATTGACCGATTTCTGGAAGGTGGAATTTATATGAAGGAATACAAGAATTTAACACCATAAATGGTTTTTTGGTGTGAGGATGCATGAATATTGAAATTCATAAATTTAATATTCAAACAATTCGTTGATTATAACCTTCTCAGCAAAAGACTACTGATTCAGTGGTAATGATTACGAACTAGTCATGGATGTATTAATTAGATAAGTCTAATCGGATGAAATAATTAAATGAAATCTATACTATAAAGAAAAATTATGAGAACCTAGAACTCGTCTAAAAAAACTCAAATTTAAAAGAACAATATTTACAAACCATTTATCTTCCTGGACATAATTTAGGTCCTCCTTTTGTCAAAGAAGCAAAAATTACAGGAAGAGGAAGTTTTACTACTAGAGTAGTGCATTTAGAATTAGTAGAGAATTTATTTGCAGAAAGTTTCTTGAACGTTTTCAGATTTGTTGCACGACACGGTTATTCAGAGATGATTTTAACTGATACTGCAAATCAATTCCAGTTAGTTTTCCAAACCTTAAAACAATCCCTAACAAAAACGAAGAGTAACACAAATTCCCTCATCGGAATACCCTACTAAACTTCCCCGCGGAAGTGTCACAAGTTTCTATTGTCGCGAAAATCAAAAATATAAGAAAAATGAACGAGAGCACAAAGTAAGAATAAAAGGAATTTTATGAACTCTTTGCAAAATAATGTTTATACTTTAAACTTTGTTTCCAATGTTATGCTTATGCTGTAAACCTTTACACACTGTTTCCAATAATGCTTATAACTCTTAGCTTCAATCTTACGTTAATGTTGTAAATCTTTATACATTGCTTCCTATTCGGTATTTACACCTTAAATTACTACCCATTTGCTTGTTGTGACTACAAAATTCCACTACTTATACCTCAATTCCTCTTTATAAAATTTATTATAATGTTGTTTCTATTAATAAAGAAATTATTAATATTTCTGTCTTACATTGTATAATAAATACAAGGTATATGTATATTAGATATAGGATAAAATCTACATCCAACAAATCTCCGGAGATCAAGAAAGCTTTCCCGAAGTATTATACTCAACCAGAATATATTTTTATGATTTCAAACAATAATATTACCCATGTTCAAGTTAAGAAGAGTTTATTGCACTTCTTATCTTTGATTTAGTTGTTTGGAACAGAAAACAGGGAAATTAATAGGAATAAGTTGAAATCTGAATGGGCATGTGAAAATTTTCAGTTTATCGAAAAATAATTCTATTCATCCTGCGTATCAAAATTCCATTTGAATCGTTTTGTCAAGAGATTTTTAAATTTTCTTGCCCTCTCCTTTAATGCAGCGTCCGCTGATTCACAATCTGAAAAATAAAGGTTTTAAATGATCTTTGGATTATCCGTATGGATTATCCAAAAATATTATATAAATAAGTTAAGATCCACCAATTCTCAGCTTGTTCTTAAAGAAATCTAAGGAACTTAAACCTGCCGAAATTCTAGTTTGCCTTCCCAGAATTGCATGACTGAAACACATCCTTGCTTTAAACATAACATAAACTTTGTGAAATAAATTTATTGCAGCCTTCATTAGATGTATCCTTTGTTAAGCTGTCAGCCATCTGGAACCAATTTCAACTCTCCAATACTTTGTTACAATTAGATATTACTAGTACATTGTTTGTAAAAAAGTACCCAATTAGATTTCGCATAAACTCTCAAAATTTAATCCCGAACTCGAACCACGTAAAATGAAATAAATTTAAATCGCCACTTTACTTACCATTTATGTTTCCGAACAGTCGAGAAAGTGTAGTTGTTAGGAAATTATCTCGCGAAACAATATCGACAAAGAATTCTTCAGGGCATTCCTTTAACTGGAAATGAAGTACCGGTATTAATGCCATGTACATTTCTTTATGTTCTATGAGTCCCTTCGTACAGGAGCACAACAAATGAATTAGTCGCTTCCACTGTTCAAAACCTTCATAAACCTATAAGTAGTGCATATTTAATCGCGAAATATTCATAAATGAAAAGAATTTAGACAGTAAATTAGACACGTTATTACCTGTCCCATCAGGAAGCACACGAATGCAAATTGTAACTCTCCAAGAAATTCGGACCACTCTCCATTAAGATCAACAAGAATTTTTTGCAACTGCCAACTTCGATCCAACGAATTTTCTGCATTTGAAATAGCCTAAAATAGGAGTTTTTAGATAACCAACTTTATGGAAGTGAGTTCTCTTATCGAAATTTATGGAAGTGAGCTCTCTTAAAACAATCTCGACCCATTCTTAAATCACATCATTTACCATACAAAATTTACAAAACCTACAAAATTTCTCCACATATGCCTTATATAAATTAGAACGAAGAAATTGAAAAAATTGTCACAGCACTGCAAGGCTGTGAGTTATGAAACAAATGGTCAAATGTAAAAATTTGTACGAAGCAAAATTTGATGAAAATTAGATGAAGTCAAGTAAACAAAAGGCAAATATTCCTATTTCTGTAATATCCCTATAAATGTGATTCGAACAAGGAAGAAAAGAAAAATTATGGAAACAGTAATAAAAGGTTGTACCTACCACGGAATGCAGTGGAAGTTCGGTGAAACGTATTTGAAAACCCTCTCTAATTCTCATAATAGGAAGACCATCTTTATCCACAAATCGTATCCTCGTTGGATGATCACGATCAACACAAGATGACGGATGTCCATGTACCTAAAAATGCAACATTAATCGACTACTTAAAAGTACAATTTTTCTGTAATGGCTACTTCTACACAGTATTCCAAATAAAAAATGCTAACAAAGGCGCCATAACAATCATTTAAAATTAAAAATGAACAGTTTAAAATCAAATAATCCTTCTTCAAATTTGAGATTGGCACTGACTAACTATATAAAGATTGGACAAATCACAATAATTACATAAACAGAATTCATTTGATAACAATGAACAGCACTAAGACTAAACTTTCATTACGCACACTATAGGTACATTCCCGAATAAAAAATATTAATTATGCGGTTCAATTCGAATTAAGTAGAAAAATACGAGTTAAAGAAACTAGACAGCATGAACAGAATGTTAGAGATTAAGTAGAAGTTCGAGGAATCATGCGGAATTTCTTAGGATAACAAAACATGGACGATTAAAAATCATTTCAAAAAATAGACTAACACCCTCTTTTTCCATCATTTCGGTCTCCAAAGTAACTAATTCCGCTTGACTTGTTATACGACTATATTGATTCTCTGGTCGTAATCTCTCGACCGTTTTTTCTATAAAATTATGATATATTTGAAAGCAATGAAAGTTATCTAGATGCAAGTAAGCAGACGCACAAACCTGTAATATGATTGCTGAGGAAAACCAACTTCGATATGCTTCAAAAGGATACGGTGCTAAACCATCATCCATTGATTTCAAGTTCGAACGTATTCTCCCTATCTGAAATCCGAAATTCAAATCTGAGATTGATAGATGGGACATTAGTCTTTCACACTACAATAAGCTTTCAAACACAAGAAAATCATTAAGAAAAAGTTCACACAAAGGATTTTCAAGTCATTCCAATTTCATTTAAAATACACTTCATTAATAAAAAGAAGCTGACTGTAAAGGGAGCTTCAAGAGTTTCAAACAATTTAACTTACAAGTTACGCTGTCTCCCTTTTACAAAAAAAGGAAAGAGAAAAGAACAGAGACTCGAGATGCTAATTATTAACTAAATACATTTAAATATTAATACTATGAATATCTGCAATAACACTGCAGCAAATAACTGTTTTGTTTTAAAAAGATTACTGACATTGTTTCATTATCCAAATTAATTCATCTCACGACAACCTAATATGAGTAAGATCTAACATAGTTACAAATGGATCTCCCAAAATAAACTTATGAATTAGGAATAAATTTTAAAAAATTAAAATTAATGAGACTACTAGATCCGTAAACAGATGATGATTACCTCATCTGCTGAACATGGCTCAATTATCATATCTTCACGTATCGGATCCCATTTACGTAGCAAAATTTCCTTTTCTTTGAAATGGTAGAAAAAACCAATACGTGGTGCCGTTTTGACGCTGAAGAAAATGAAATGAACGCCCGGAGGGATCATTTTTAAACCAAGAAATTTCGGCCCCACATGCCACGACTTGTAATCAATACCGAATTCTGTTGTTTGAGGTACATTGAGGAAAACCTGTAAAAATTTTCATACTTAAATCCACTTGTCACTGAACTCTATGAAATAGCTTACGGTAATGAATTGAATCAGTTGAGAACAGTACAAGAACATCTTCCCATTAAAATTTGGCATTAAAAGACGCAAATGAACTTTCTATTATCAAGTAGGATATTAAAACTATTTCCAAAGGACTATAAGATTCATTAAGAGATAGAAAGTAATAAATAGGCATTGAGTAAATCTTTATCTTTTGTTCTTACAGCAAATAAGTATTTCCAACATCAATGAATTCAAACAAAGTATTACTTACCATAAATGCGCCATTTTCATACAAATGATTGGCAAGACTTGGAGGCATATCCGATGCAGATGTTGTACACATGGATGCTGCAACGGATATTGCATCTGCCTTTTCTTAATCATGAGGAATCAAGCTTATTATGAAGATACAAGATCCAATCTAGAAAAAACAAACAAATAAATTGAACTCCAAAAAATAAATTAACTTTCAAAAACTTTGCTCTAACTACCATATCTTTTTACTGTCCCTTAAATTTCATTGCTTAACTTCCTAACCGATGTATCACAGAAAAGCAACACCTGGGACATACTAATTAACCCTAATTAACCGACCGATAACAACTTCCTTGCCCTCCCAACTTATCAGTTTAAACTCCATCAGTGACAGTGCCTTAATTAATGCGGCCCACAAACGAAATACCTTGCAATTGCAATGAATTAGATTTTGTAATAATTTATCGTACGGATTTATTTATTATTAATGAGTGTACAAAATGATAATCAGCATATCTTTCAATTCATCGTATCTCAGGCGAAAATTTGCATATTAAATTAAATTATAAAGTTAAATATAAAAATTTGAAAGAATATGAAACAGTCATTACCGTGTACATAATGCGCTGTTATTCTGTTTTATCGGTGTTTCTTGTGAGTGCTTTTGTAATAAAAATCGCTGTAGCTAATCGACCATTCAATTGTGTAAGTTATTTAATCTCTTAGAAGAACTAACGATTATATTACCTTACAAATGTAATATTTTCAAAAGTTATAAAAAGACGAAATAGACGATTCATGGCTCACCTGTGCTAGCATACCTTGTGCTGCATTTTGCAGTTTGCAAGAATATTCTATCTGTTTTTTTCATTTATTTAGTTTTTAACTATTTTGAATTTTTTCAAAAATCTCTAACTTATTTTAAGAAAGTCGTTTTAATTATAGGGTTAAAAATAAACAATCATATATATCTTCCTGTTATAGCTCACATTTTAAAAACTAATTCATCCGTGCATTCTAATTCTGAATGAATGTATTAATTATAAAATTCAATTATCTTATATCAATTATCTCATTCGAAATATTACTTTTAATAATGTTAACTTAAAATACCAACAACTTGACTTGTTTCATCTCATAGCCATATTAATAACAAAATTAGATAATAATATCTCAATCAATTGCTATGAAAACGAAAATGTAATGTAATGAAAAACTGAAAATGAAAATATAATATTAATCTGAAATGCAAACAATCGTACATGAACACATGCATAAATCAATTATTGATAAATGATCAAATTTGGAACAATTTATTTCAACAACTCTCTTTTTTTTCTTTTTTTTGTTAATTCGTTTACTAGTGAATCAGTTCCTCAAGAAATTAATTAATTAATTAATTAATTAATTAATTAATTAATTAATTGTTGCTTAATATTTGTCATTTGAATTATGAGATTTGATTCGTATGTGAAAAGTACAATTGGAATAATTGCTAGTTAATTTATGTCCAAATTTTTTATTTTTTTCTTGAAAATGTAATTCATAAAACATATTTGTCCATCATTTTTTTATTTGAAAAACTTTTACCAAATAATATGAGAAGAAAAATATGATTTAGAAAACTATTAACTAAAATTATTACAATGTGTGCACTTTCATCTAAAATGAAACATTCGATTTGCTGGATATCATTTTTAGTATTATTGTGATTTTGGGATAGTCCGGTTATAGTCCGGTTATTGTGATATTGGGATAGTCCGGCTTATTGTGATATTGGGATAGTCCGGCTGTAGTCCGGTTATTGTGATATTGGGATAGTCCGGCTGTAGTCCGGTTGATCCAGTAATCTTGTCAGAGAAAAATAAGTGTTTTCTGAGAGCCAATTTGACTAGATTAACATCTCTGAATGTGTTAGATCAGTCTATCATACTCATATTATGTTTGCATCCATTGATGATTTCTGATAGAACTGAAGAGAATGAAACGAATATAAGGTAACCTTTGACCTTCTGTTCATCAGTCTTCCTCTCTCTCTCTCTTATCACTGATAACATCCTTATGTAATATCTATAAGATAAAAGAACTACATTAACAGTTCGATACAACCAATTACAGCGAGGATATTCGGAAATTGATGATAGAAGATATATGAAAATATATGCAGAGGATGGAATTCAGCCAGGTGAACAGATTCGACTCCTTGTTCGTCGTTTTCCAAATGTTAATGCTGAAGCGTAAGTTCTATCTTTAAGAAATCATTTTAATCTAATTTTTCATCCTTTGATTGGATTAACTTATTAAAACGTTCATTAGCAAAAATGGGCCATTTATTTCAATCTATAACTGCTAAATTTATTTATGATAAATTAGTCATTTAAATAAACTTTATTATTATTACATTAACATTTATTATATTCATGCAGTTGTAAAGCAAATTTGACAGTAAGGAAGAAAAAATCAAAATAAAGAAGACAGCAATGATTTATTAAGTAACTTTATTAAGTAAAATTGATATGATCGACTTTTCAATAAATAATCTTATCCGATCAATTGAATTTCTGATTAGGCTTTTCTTATTCAAATGTACATATTACTCATTCTATTCAATTTTTCTGCTTGATTTTGTAATATTGCATGTCATACTATTTCATTTTATTTAATCTCTCATTCATTTATTTAAATTTTCTAAAACAAAAAAAAAAAACAAAAACAAAGCTTAGATCAAGATTTCTGTATAATAAACCAAAACATAATTTTGTTGAGTTATTTTTCATGACACTAAACAGTTAACGATTTTCTGAAATTTCTGGTGTGAAATTCTCTATACATATCTAATGTTACAGATCTATTTTCTGATCTACAAAAATTATTAATTTGCTAACAGTGGTGATAGTATAATAATTAATTAAGCTGGAACGATATAAAATTAGAGTTTCTATGAAAGTTGTTAAATTCAAATTTAAAAAAAAAGAAAATTAATGCTAACATTATCTTACAGCTTTGATATAATTCAAATAGGATATTTGGAAAAAGGCAAAACTTTGAACTTATCACATGGTGGCGGCAATTTTTTGCCCAAATATCCGTTTTGGTTTGATCGCGAGAAATACTTAATGTCTATAAGAATCATTCATTGGATATACGAAAAAAGGATCGTAGTGACTAGAAAGCTTTATAATTCGATTGATGTTTGTCGCTGTTGATTTGCTTTTCTTTTTTAACTTTTGTTTACTGATGTTATTGAAGCACTTTGAAATAATTTAAAATTTAAAAATTTAAAAAATGTATGTTATTTGTGATCGTATGTTCATTATCATCATTAACTGATCAATGAATTTGATTTAATTATTGATGCTGAAAAATGATAATGCTTATAGTTCACAGCAATTGGTACATTTCAAGAACCAGAACAATTTTTTTATACATATGAAGGATACTACACAGAGATTGTTTATGTTATTGGTTATTCTGATCGAATTGTTGATCATTCTCATTACTTCTATGTTCAAGGCAAAAAAACATTTAAGTATGATGTAAGCACTGTTAACATTAATTCATATAACTTCTGATTTAATCATAAATTCTTTATGATTTATAATTTTAAAATTTCAACTTGTTCAAATTTAGCCATTTGTTATCTCATTTTCACAATTATATGAAATGTAATGATATAAAATATATTCTTTCTTAGCTTATTAATCAAAGAGGAAGAAAAAAAAAATTTCTTTTTGCAACTTTGATGGAAATATTTTAACAATTCCAAATATATTTCTGTCTTTTTTTTTGATAATTTAAAAATGATGGAAAATTTCCTTGCACGAAATTCATTTTCATTTTTTTTTTTACTTTTAGCATTTCAACATTCCACGCGATGTATTCAATAGCTCAAGTCCAACTACTTTTAAAAATGCAGTTAGTATACAAAATACTATTGAAGCATATCGAAATTATGTGGGCACAGTAACTGGTTATCATGGTGACACGGACAAACTAATCTTGCAATCAATGGGCTTACCAATGCCATATCATGCAACATTTAGCTTTGGTGGCTTTTATATAAGTAAGCTTATCAGTAGCTAATTTCTAACAATATAGTAAGTTAATTAATTGCTAAAGAAAAAAAAAACTTTATGAATACTTTCTGTTTACTGATCATTTCTTTTAAAGATAATTCATCCCTTACGATGCTTTTGTTTTTTGATAATACTTTTATGTATTTTTTAGTGCTGCTTTTTTTTTTTTTGTTATCTTTGATATTACAATAGTAAGTAAGGGTTGCAGATAAATGTTAAATGATGAATTATGATTATTAAATTGCAAAAAAAAAAGAATAGATGCTTCTATTTTCTCGAATTAAAGCCTTTATTTTAGATATATTATACAAATTGAGAATTGTTCCAATACTTTTATTTCTTTTGCTAGAAGAGGGAGAGAAAGAGAAGAAAATAAGAGGAAAGAAAGAATTTTTTTTAATATTCTTTTTTTCTTCTTTGAAATATTCCAAACATTCTTTATCTTATTTTTTTCTTATCTGTATATTAATTAATCTTTTCAGGTCAACGGGCACATTTTGCTGGTTTCTTCACGAATACAGTCATTGCTGAAATTAAAACTGCTTTTAGCACATATGTATTTTATTTGCATAAAAATAGTGTATGTAAATATTTAGCTATTTTAAATAATCGGAAAACAAAAAGTGATATGCCTTTATTTTTTTTTTTTTGTTGAATTTACAATAGAAGTCCAAGCGAAGTAATCAAGAATAATAATTTATAATGAAATATATCATATAATATAATATAATATCATGAAGAATTGAACTAATGGTGACAGATGAACAGATGAGATTGTTTTCTTAAAACTATTATTTATATTTGAAAAGTTTGAATATAATATATATCTTATCGGATCTTCTATGTATAAATTAATACTCCAACGAATATTAATTTTGAAAAGATCAAATATTTTTTAGTTCATATCATCTATTACTTCAAATAGATTTCATTTTTTCCTTGCCCACATTTATTATGCATTTTTTTTTTTTTTTTGTTGATGGAATTT